CACTGTTGTCACGGACCGCGAGGCCTCGTTTCCAGTCTCTATATTTTAGTGTCTCTGGTATTACACCTACAGTTCCGCCTGCCGCCATAGCCGCTCATTCGCGTGAAACGTACTCTCGGACTGGGGAAAGCCGAACGTAATATCACAAACGCGATCGGTAAAATATGAACTCGGTAGGCTTTTCAGATTTGGTTTCGAGGACTTTGTGCATTTTCGCGGGTCTAGGCGATTTTTTTTTCTTCAGATTCCCCGGTAATAAATTCCTGCAGTCCCCCTGCGTAGAATCCTCATTTGGTACTGCCCAATTCTCTAGATCTAGACCAAGACAGATTTTAGAATGTTTTGCTTCGATACCGATTTTCCTTCTACATTCACAATTCTGTTTTCTAGGTAAATGAATTAAGTGCACAGATTTTCCAGCCGCAGCAAAAAACTGAAGATAGACAGAAAGAAAGAATGAATGAGAAGAAGGAGGAAGATTATCTATCGTGAGTAGACAGATTTCAGCCGATAGGCACGTGAAAAACTATTGCCGATCGAACGGCACAGATAGACAATGGTCGAGAGTACGAAATGCGCAATCTGGCAGTTTCTAATACAACTTATTGCCGGGAGTTGCTGTAAATATCTGACAAGTTACGGAGGAAAGTGCTGATCTCTCTCTCTCTCTCTCTCTCTCTCTCTCTCTCTCTCTCAACGCATGGAGTTGATATGATGATGCGGCAAGTACGGAACTTTCGGAATGTACGGATTTCCGTAAAAACAAAGAAGAGTGGAAGCACTGCAGAATGTTTTTTTTTCTTTTTATTCTCTCGGCACCCATTGAAAATCCGGTAGTTTTGACACCTTATCGGTATGTCGGTAGAACAGGCCCAAAATCGGTATCTACCGGAAAAATCGGTAGATTTAGGCAGCCCTGTATAGAGGTGTTCCTTTTCATACACTGACAAAACCTGGCGGTAGGCGGAGCTGGCGGTATAATGGGGTTTGACTGAAATTTAAGAAATAAAAGAAAAACCACATAACTGTGGTAATGGGGTGAAATCAGGCATCCTTCAAGATAACAAAATGGAAGAAACTGGCATTTTTTCTGCTCATTAGGCAATTTTTATCGTTTTTTGGTTTATTTTGGCGAAACACGTTTTACACATATGTCCATTCAAAAACACATTTCTGTGTGGATTCTACCCAAAAAACTTTGATCAAAAGCACATTGAGCAAATAAGATTTCCACTGTTAATTGCTTTTACATAATTTACAGTATTACTTACCCAATGGAGTGCTCGAATCTGTTGTGTGATGCACCAGGGTAGACATAGTAACAGACCCCTAGTTGCTTGATGTAGCGCAAGCGCTGAAACTGCTGTGTGTCTACAATAGCAACACAAGCTGGGTGAAGACTAATATGGCCATGGATTGGATCATTGAAGATCTGGAACAGAGAAAGTTTTAACCATGGTGTCAGAACAATTTCAAAGACAAGGGTAAAAGGAATACAAAATATAAAATAGCTTTTCAGAACTGACTAAGATACCGTACATATCTTTGTCATACCATGATTGAAAGGTGAATCAATTTTCCGGTCCACATACTACTATTATCTCCCCATACGGTCAGGTACACAGTAGGGAGCAACTGAGGCCATGTTCATCTGGTCTGTCCCCTCCTGCCACTTCCTCTAGCTTTGTCACATCCAGCCCCAAGAAGATTGCCTTATCCCTTCTTGTTTTTCCAACCGGCTTTGTCTCAGATTTTTTGGGGTTAAAATGTAGAGGTGTGTTTTTGTGCCATCATCAAAACAATTTAGATCATTTAGACAGCGGGCTTCCGGCCTTGCCTGTCAGGTCTATGATGAATGTCGTTAATGCAGCCTGTGGCTTTGGAGATAATGATGCCAAGATTCTTAGTGGATATAATACAATTTTGCCTAAGGTTTGTCATAAAGTAAGAGTAAGATGGAAGTAGTTTCTGGTGACAATCGCAACACTTCTGTTCAGGAAAAATTTATTACAAGTAATACAAGGCCAAAAGTTGCAGGTCGTGACAACTCATTTATTTCTAATTCCAATTCATGCACCACACTGCATTGTTTGAGTTTAAGAAAAATGTCATGAGCGCATGAGAGTGTAATCTATATTTCCCAATTTAAGTGAGCCATTTAATGTCGGTTTCGATGATTTTGTTCAGTCCAAAAATACAGTTGATAGTATAAAGCCTTGTCTAACTCCAGTCCAGTATTCTTTCAAAAGACGCAGCCAGTTCCCCTTCAACTAGGATACAGTAACTTGTCTTTGTATCATACACTGATTTTACACGGTATTTCTGCTGGGATGCCATAAATTGCAAACATTTTCCAAAGGTTTCTTTAAAGCTGTCAAAAGCAATTATAAAGTTCACAAAGTTTAAAATAATTGTGACATTCCATTCATTACTTTGTTCTACAACAATGTTTCTCAAGACAAATTGGTGTGCACATGATTTCTTAGGTCAAAATCTCGCGTGTCCCTCATTCAATCTTTCATCTCTATAGCTGTTCTCTGATAACGTACGAGGGAAAATGATTGAGCAAAGTAATACTTCAGGCATCAATAAAGTGTAATTCACCTCCAATTGCTACATGCTACAGTCCTTTAAATCTCCCTTTCTTTATTTCATCAGTATACATTCTGTATCAAGAACTTCATTTAAAAAATAACAAACATAAAATCTCATAACCTTTTTCTGTAATTGTTAAAGCATAGATAATGTAGCAGTGATTTCATCTTCTCTTGGACTTTTATGACTTATTTTCATGACAGCAGATAACATTTCTTGTATAGTATACTTTTCATCTGTGTTTATGGTAAATTTTTCTCCAGGCTTGAATCAATCAAACATCTACCTGTACAGGATGTGTTTTACAAAAAAACTTACACCTTTGGTCTTTATTTTAAATTTAAAAAAACCAAACAAAATATAGTTTATTAAAGAATACAACAAAGAAATATCTGAACTGCCAAATTACTTATTAACAACTTAAATTACTTTAACCAATCAAGTGCTATGGGGGAGATAACTGTTAATTTTAGTTTTTACCCTCCCCCCCTAAAAATATGGTCCAATTTAACTCTGTACTAGTTTTAGGCCAAGAAAATGTTGTCTATAATATTTTTTCTTCCATTCTTTCCTTTTCTTTCCCAAACCTTTTAGAGCATCATGGTTGATGTCAACTTTGTAAGTACCCCGAGCTCTGGCTGATATATTTCATAATGGTATCTTCGATTTGTTATTGTAATATAACATTGTAACTGTAAAAGTAAAAGGCTTAAAAAAAAAAAACCCGGTCTTTTTCTTCTTCTTCATGATCATTTGTAGGGGTGCATAGCATTGTACAATAATAATGAAAGTCATTTCTATAGGGCCCAGTCCCGTGTAAACACAGCTCTAGGCGTTTTACATTGCATGTACGAACCATATTCACGCATGCGACACACACACTCACACACACACTCATACACACAAACACACTCATACAGACACACACACTCACACACACAGTACATGCACACATGTGCACACACATGCACGCCAAACACACACACACACACACACACACACACACACACACACACACACACACACACATCTACTTGCTTATCACACACGCACGCTTACACATTGTTACGAAATGAGCACATACACATATATATATAATATATATATAATAAAATAATATACACAATGCAATTCGCAAAATACATAAATGGATCATAGCAATTTACATAGCATTGTACTGAACATGAATCTACCGACATAAAAATGATGTCATTAAATGTGTCTTTTAAGATTTTAAAAATTTAGACTCAGATGTTGTATGCCTCAAGGGTTGGGGAAGGGAGTTCCAACCTGAAGGAGCAAGGTGGGCAAACGATCTGCGTTTGTTGCCACTGTTTTGTCCCAAAGTTGCCACACAAATGGTAAAAGTTGCAATAAAAGTTGCCACTAAGTTTCAAGTTTTCAACTCTCTCTCTCTCTCTCTCTCTCTCCCCCCCCCCCCCCCCCCCCCCCCTCTCTCTCTTTCGGCTGGGATGTCGTATACAGAATCCCTCTCAGCACGGGTGGGTCCGACTCCTAAATGATTTAAATTGTGTTGATGAAGGCATAAAAAGACGTTAAACCTTAAAACAAATTAGAACTGCCAAAAAAGATGAAATTTTAAAAAATACCTTATGGTCATCTGTGCTGCCAGCCATTTCACAGGGATTTCAGGCCTCTTCCTATAAGATCACACATAAAACACATCAATAAGACACCATGCCAGATAGACTTAGTTCTTTCAATCCTGATCCCCAGACCGTGTAGAACTTGTGCGCCGTTATGTCGACTGCCAGAATAAACCCAAACAAACGGTTGCTACGCGTATTATGTGCGGGCTGTCTAATTTTTATAGCCTGCATATGGTTCTCCGAAACTTGATCACCGGCTGTGCCAGGAACCCGGCGTTTGACAGTCTTGGGCTTAGAATTCTATTTAAAAACCTCCAGGAATCATTGGTTGAGGGCAGTTGATGCCAGCCACCCTTCACGAACTAGTGTATTAATAGAATCTTTGGAGAAACTTGGGCAAGGCTTAGTACTTGTTAGTACGAGAACGAGAATGGACTACCTTCTCTATGCACCCCGGCTTTCGCGTGGAGTTTGAAATGGAGATAGTGGTCAGGCGTGCGCATATATGTTTATGTTACTGATTAACGGTATTCGAGTGTGTGTGTGTGTGTGTGTGTGTGTGTGTGTGTGTGTGTGTGTGCGTGTGCGCGTGGTCGGTTAATTACGCGGGGGCAGCTCTGGCAGCAGGCTTGCACTTGCATGGGCTGAAAGCTCAGCACAAACCTGACCGTAAGGTGGCCATGTGCTGTGGTCATACTGAGTCATAATGAGTTTGCTTTGGTCAATGCTTACTTCGTATAAACACAGGCCTGCCAGTCGCCCTTTTTTTACATGTACCCAGACCAGGGCACACTGCCAATCGAACTGAGTTGGGGCCAACCAGATTTTCCTCCACGAAGTGACAAAAGCTACGATCGTGGCATCGACCAAATTCGATCGTGACCTTCAAAGACAAACGCGTTTACTTTTCAAGATCGCGAGTCGAACGATCAGATGCGTACAAATTGGTAAAGGATAGTGTACATATTTTGAGAAGCTGACTGGTATTGATAGACCCAGTAAAGCTATCGACATGTCCCATGTATATATGTAGGGTTCACTATCCTCTCAACCCTGGGTGAAAGTTCAAAGACATAAAAAAACATGAAGAGGTAGGGTGGCTATTTTCAAAAACCTGAAAGCAGGGTGACTACAGACCCGGCTTCTCAATTTTCCGGGGGGTGGCTCATCATTTTCCAGGGGCATGATAGCGCGTGCTCATATTCACACACACACACACACACACACACACACACACACACACACACACACACACACGCGAGATGAATAAAGATTGTCATTGTCATGTAGGTACATTATATCCAGTCCACAACATCATTACATGTCAGTGTGGCACTGGGGTCTTGTGTGACTTAGGTGTTTCTTTCAGTCTGTTCTTACTTTTTTTTTTACATTTTCCCCTCATCATATTTGCCTAGATATAAACTATATAAAAATGAATCCTGTTTTGAGCCTGAGAAAGGGCTTGGAACAAGAAGAGCGACTGTCAAGAACCAGTCTGGGTGTCATTATGATACATATAGGCCTAATAATAGGTACCACAAGCGAAAAATTTTTTGAACAATATTGACGTTTAAACCTCAGGGGTTCAAATCTACTCTATGAAACAAGGACATTAAAAAAAGAATTATCAAAATCCATCAATAAACAATCGAGATATGGTATTTCAAAGTTTTATTTTTGAACGAAATCTTTTCAGCTGCGACTTTCACTCATGTTTGAGGTGTTCTAAAATACAAAGTACATGATCAAATCAATGAAAACTTTGTTTTTCCCAGAGCTGTCAACACAA